AACCTCTAAATTATTGTGGATCTGAGTTTGACATTATGATTTTTGGGTTTTTTTTCTTTGAGAGTTGAAGAAAAAGGGAAAGAAATGATTTGAAACTATGTGTTTTAATACTCTTTGTAGTACTCAAGAGCAAAAATTACAAACGACTGTAAATGAGTAATTCTTATAAGTGTAAATACCAATGCCCAAAATTTTCTTCCTTATCCCTCATCCACTAGCTCAAAGTAAGTTGTAGTAAGGTTTTGTGTTAAAAAAAAAAAAAAGAAAAAAAGTTGTAGTAATGTCAATGGGCAACCCAATAATGATAGAAAGAGGGCTCATTTCTTATGTGTTCTTTTTCCCAGGATCTAAAGATGGTAATTCGTTTAACTTTAGCTATCAAAAAGAACTGTCCGGGAATATCACATGAGATCATAAAGCCCATTTTTCATAAACATTATTACTCCAATTTTAATTTTTTTAATCATATAAAAACTCCATTATAACTCCAATTTTAATTTTTTAATCATATAAAAACTCCATTATTACTCCAATTTTAATTTTTTTAATCATATAAAAACTCTCTCTTTGTCTCTCCAAATTTAATGTTCATATTCAGACTTTTAAGATGAGAACATTTAGCAGTGGAAATAAACAAATGAGATTACTAATAGAACCTGTTGGGGCCATGTGGACTTTCTTATAAAAATTATGGCAGATTGAGATGCTTATTCCAAACTCCACCTCCATTTACCTTATCAGTTCATCTGAAAGATTTAAAGATGCAGAAAAACAATTTTTTTTTCCTTATTAAAAAAACGATGAAGAAGAAGATTCCCCCTATAATATAATAGGTCAAATGAATGCCAACATTACTTTGTTAATCATCCATTACACCTTTAATCCTTCTTCTCACATGTTGCCCTACGTCATTTATTCTGCCTCTCACAAATCATGGCACCGTTAATCTAAAGTATCCCAAACCAACAGATTGGGATAAAATAAAAAAGTACTCGCTCCATTTTAAAATATAAGTCGTCTTATAATTTCAAAATAAGTTATTATTTTTATTTTTTTTAATCTATAGCATAAGCATATGCACATATGTATTAAAGAAATAATTATTAAGACTTTAATTTTTAAGTACAATACCTTTATTACTCCTAATTAAGAATGTGGGGGTAGACAAAACTTTGAAATTGACGTAAAAAATTCGGTTATTAATATATATTAGTATAAATAAAGAGGAATAAGAGAGCATTTGAAAAAAAAAATGAATTTAATGCATCATTTGAAATGAAGTATTATAGATAATAATAAAAATAAAAAACCGTGTTCATTCTAATACGACTGGTAAAAGAATAGGAATAGTAATTACTAACTTTACCTTACCTTCAATAAATATAACTCCTTTCTCTCTCAAAATCATTGTTTATTTTGAATTTTAAATTTTAGTACATTTTGAACTAAAAATAAAAATCTAAATTGGATAATAATTTTGAGATATAAAGAGTATCAACTTTAGTCTTGTTTATAATTGCAACGGGTATAAAAAATATTTGACACGCAGACTAATTCATTAATTGTTGTATGATATATTTTTAGTTTATGTGCAAAGCCTAAAATATAAAATGAAGTGAGTACTCTCTTTCTATCCTAAAATGAGTGTCATGTTTAGAATATTATTTTTTAATACAAATGATAACTAAAAATAAAAATTTAAATTAGGTAATATATATAACTTATACTATATATAATATATATGTAAATATATACCTTCTAGGGTTTATGGTGATTTCTTTTATTTATTTGACCGAACTAAACAGGTCATACGAATGCAGATGATCAATTCAACGTCCAAAAAAGTCAGATTACTATGACGAATTCATGGCCATAACTGGCCTCTTGATACCCTTGAAGACAGACACATATATTTGAAATTCATAATGTATTATTATTACACCGTAAAGTTAGTGAAGAAAGCGATATATGCTTTGTTCACAATGATTAATGGTATTGATAATACTGACTCCTGTAGAAACGAAAATTCATTCATTGCTACAAGTCACTTTGAGTAGATGCGAGAAATTCCAAAATAAAAAATTCCTTCTCTACTGAGTTATTTATTAATAATACATTTGAAATTTGTGAAAAAATATAAAAAAGACCCATTTGTTTGTTAATAACCAAAAACAATGATTGATCAACTTGCTCTCTTTTGCATAGTGTTTCAGCTGACTAGAATAGTACTGATACGGAAGTTGTGACTAACTTAAGACATCAAAAGAGGGTGTGGTGATAAGCGAATGGTTATTATTGAGGTCATATCTCCCTCCCGTTCATCACTTCATCTCGTTATCTGTTTATAATTTTTTTTTATTATTCTTTTTATGATAATGTTCTCGAAAACGAAACAAGTAAATAAACAATAACATTAAAGTATTCGACATTTTGACGTTTGCTATGGGAAATGATAGTGATACTGCCCTACATTTTTTTACCAATTCTCAATGATAATTTGTGAGGAAAGAAAATAGAAGAAGAGGGAGTCTGCTTATTCCCGCAAGTATGAGAATCTGATTTATAGACATCAAAGATGTGATTTTTTTTTTTTCTTGAGTAAGGCGGCATGAAGATGTGATGTTATATTTGTTTTTAGATTCAAAACAGATTTATAATGCTTATACAATTAGTTCTCTTGACATCTTTATCATTATTATATATATTAAAGCAGAGTTATCAATCGGACACGTGGCGCAAAACTAGATAGGGTAATCCATATAGCAAAAAATTAGATAGAAAAATTAGATAGTCAAGTCTGTATGTCACAACCACATCGCTCCATCATTTAATGATAATTTTTTATTTGTAAATTTGTAAAATCTATAAATTACTAATTTTACCCAGTTTAATTTTTATGTCATATTAAAAGAAATATATAGAGAGTTGTTTACGCATGGCATAACTTTAATACGTGTTTTTTTTTATACACTAATGACGAGTTAATTAGAAAAATAAACTCATACCCGAATACACTAATCCTCATTCTACTAGGCTGCATAATTTAATTTTTTTTTATGTATTTTAACTATTATTACCAAGTAATTCAAGATATGGTTATTCAAGATAATATTTTTCAAGAAATGAGCTTTAAAGAGATCGGTCATCGATTTTTTTTAAAAAGGGGGAAGACTATGCAAAAGGTAAATATTATAGATGATTGTAAAAAGAAACTTTTAAACTTTTAAATATATATGAATAAACTTTTAAAGAAATGTTGCAAAAGGTATATAGATATCTGAAACAATAAAGATAAGTTTGTAAAAAGAAATAATGAAAAAAATTTCTACTAGAGGGAGAGTTTAAAACATATTTAGACAAATATGAAAAATATAATAATAAAAAATTAAGAGAATATTTTTAAAAAAATTTAGAAATTCATAAATAAACAAAACGAAAAAGATGGCAGACAATAAGTTACATTAGATGATTTTGAATATTGAAGTTTATTTCAAATGTACTTAAAATAAGAAAATAACACATTGACATTAAAAATATACAAATGGAATTTTTATCATTAATATATATAAGCTATAAATTCATATATCTTTACCAACTCGCACAACGTGCGGGATAAATACTAGTATTTATTATCGAGTAAGTAATTTTTTATAACATTGTGATCAAATGTGATTAATAATTAGTAACTTTAATTCTTATGATAGTAGATAATAAATATTTTCCCGGTCCTAATTATAAGCTATAAATTTAAATTAAAATCGGTTTAATTTTAATTGTAATTGAAAATAAAACCAGGGGGTAATTTATTAAAAAATAATATTATTAAACTACTACTTACACATTTTGATATTTGTACATTTATAAATTGACCCCTTTAATAATCATTAATATCGAAAATCTCTTTATAATTTGCCATACATTACAGAAGAATCTCTGTTTCTATAAACCTTAGCGGTACTAAATTACTAAATAAAATCATTAATAGTAGAAGAAAGATTACAGAATTACAGATTACACAGACGCGTCGTCGTGTTTCCGATTCTGAGAATCAATGGCCGCTGTGAAATGAGTCGTTCCCTTTTTAACTCCGCCACTCGTTTATTTCCCTACTATTTATTTACCAATTATATCAATTCAACTCTTCACTTGGACAACAGAGACCAAAAAAGTCTCCTTTTTCCCTTTCCAAACCAAAAAACCCTCTCTTTTTCTCCTCCAGATTGATACTGACAGAGGAGAGGGGTTATTACACGAAATTCGTTTGTTGATGCTCTCTGTTGACTGATTTGGAGAATTGGGTATGTCTTCTTTTGCTGTCTTCCGTTCGAACTCGCTTAATTTTGTGGTTTGTTGTGTACCGTTTTTTCCGCTTACATTGTGTTTGATGCATTTGGAATTTTGCGCGCTTCTGGAATTACTGTAATGCTTTGTGTTTTTTAGGGTTTTTTTATTTTTTATTTTATTTTTAAGTTCTGTATTTTGGTGTCTGAAATCGCACTTGAAAGATCTATTAAGCTTTGTCATTTGTTCTGCTCCTGAAAAGATAGCTCCTTTGCTTCTTGCGATGATAACTGCAATTCTTTCTTTTTGAGGTTTTCTATGGTTCTTGGTATCTACGAATGTTGATCCTAAAACCCAATTGACAAGGTTTAGTGAAGCATTCATATTTTTGCTCCTGGAAAAAATATGGGTTTTTTTGTTGGTATTATTCCTGAATTGTAATCCTAAATTTCAATTCATTACTTCAGTGAAGATTTTAGTTCTGTTCCTAGAAAGCGCTTCCTTTTTGTTTTTGTGTTGCCTTTTGTTTTTTGGTTTAATCAGAGATTTACTTTAATTTTGTTTATTGGATTCTGCTGTCATTTTGTTAGGGTTTCGTTCTTCTCGTTGGCCCTAGATCCATTTGTGTCACTCGGGTCATTTGTTGAGAGATATCTGATCACTGTGCATGCTGAATTATCCTATTTTTGATTTTGGAATCCCTTCTAGTTTTCCTTACAATGGATGATGGAGAACTTGAATTCTCAAACCAAGAACTGTTTTCGAACTCAAGCTTTGGGGATCTTCCAAGTAGTTGCTCCATAGGTGGTTTTTTCGATGATCTTGTATTCAAGGATGCTCATGCCTGCACACACACTCACACTTGCAACCCTCCTGGTCCTGATAACTCGCATACCCATACTTGTGTTCATGTGCACACCAAAACCATCGGCCCTGCACCTGCTGCCAGTGAAGACAAGGCCCCAAGCGATGACACTGCTGAGTCCACTGAAAAGAAAGGGAAGAAACGACCTTCAGGTAACAGGGAAGCTGTGCGGAAGTATCGGGAGAAGAAGAAAGCCAGGGTTGCTTCATTGGAAGACGAGGTTGTTAAATTGAAGGCCATGAATCAGCAGCTGGTGAAAAGGCTGCAAAATCAGGCCCTTTTGGAAGCAGAGATTGCGAGACTCAAGTGTTTGCTTGTGGACATCAGGGGAAGGATTGAAGGCGAGATTGGATCGTTCCCGTACCAAAAGCCGACCAGTCAAAATCTTGCTAGTTCAAGTATCATGCCCGGGGGTGCATATCTGATGAACCCTTGTAATGTACAATGTGACGATCAGCTTTATTGCCCTCACCCTGGGTCGGAAGGTAAGAATGTGGAAGGTGGGACCATGGGCGGTGGTGGAGATTTCGATGATTGTGAATTTGAGAATCTGCAATGTTTTGGTAGCCATAATTCGGGATTTAAGGACCTTCCTGGTTGTGGAGTTGGTAACGGGGGCCTTCCTTCTGCTAACACATCTAATGGGATTAAGAGAAAAGGTGAATTTTGACGCTTCTTCTTTTTCGTTGTCATTGTTCTTGGATTTAGTGGGATCAACAGTTTGATCATATTAGCTACAATGGTTCTTCCCTTTTTAAGTACAAAATGTTCTAATATCTGGCATGTTCGAAAGGCTTCACGATTATTGACATACTTGTTTGTTGTCTTTGACATTGTTTCTGGTTTCCTGTTCTGCAAAATTGGCCACGAAGTTTGGAGGGTCTTAATATCTCGGCATGCTATGTCTCAATGCTTGAGTTAACTCTTGCCTTTGATAGACTGATATTATAAACTTCATTGAGAAATTATCATGGGGATCCCATTCTTTTGTTGTGAAGCTCTTTGGCATCAATCTTGTTCCTTACTGTTTTCCATATCCGTATTTGATGAAGACATCGTCCGAATTCAACCTAACATTCCTTTTTTGCTCACTCTGGTAGGTGCTGCTCGTGTAGGAAAGGCTGGCTGATGAGCTACAATTGTTGCAATTCCTTAATAAAATGAAAGGACTAGTAGTGGTATTACAATGTTTCCTTTCGGGTTTCGGGATTTAGAGTAGATGAGGCTCTTGATTGATTAACCTCATATGGATTGGATGCCTGATCCCCACCAGCTCTATATGAATATGTGTACTGCTTTTGATCTTCCGAATGTTATTTTATTAAGTTGCTAGCTAGTGCACGCTGTGTAGTAAGTAGATGAGGCCAGAAATCTGTTTTGTTTTTCCTTCAGCCTCATAGCTTTTTCTTCAAGGGCTTGATGTTTGTTATTATATCAAATTTTACATGCAGCATATCGCTCTTGTAGTCTTTGTTCCCCTTGCGTATTGCGTAATACTGTACAGCTTTTTGTTTCCTCTTTCACATTTTTGTTCAGCAGAAACAATCAAAGAGACCCCGATGAAATATAATTTACTTAGATTGTTTCAAATGCAGTGAAACAATTAAGGGAAATTCTTCTGCTATCCCAAGGATGATCTCAAGAACTAGGAAAAACACAAACGTTCTAGTCAGCTATAAGCTTAGTAGTAGGGCTGCTAATCAACTACATATTTATCCCTTAATCATAGTCCTCTCTGTAAATGCTCTCAGCCATTTGCCAGACCTGAAGAGCGTTGTCTTCTGCCACGCTTGATATGACCCAGGGTTCATTTTTGTTCCAGGAGAAATCCGATATCTTTGCTTTGTGGCCTCCATGAGAAAAGAGAAGCTCAGAAGGCCCATCTTCTGCTTCTCCTTCCAACTGCTCATCCCCAACCCTAAACAGACATTGAGTTGGACCAAATTTTCAGTATGTAAACTACAATTGGTTCATGATGTATTCCTACGTATCAAGCATAAAGTTTGTAACCATTATTAAGCAAGAGGTAAAAAGTAACTTACTTGTTCAAGTCCCACACCATTAATCTTCTGTCACCAGCTGATGATGCCAGGACTGTTTCATGGTTAGGATCCCACTCTACTTGGAAAACCTCTTCTCTGTAAATAGAAAAAATTATCTTACATGTAACGTCAACACAACACCTTAAGAAAAACATGCAAGCACTATGTTAAACGTCAGGCTAAATAAATGTTTGATCTTCATGGGTTTGATAACAGCAGTTAAACGCCATTAAGAAGACTTACGTGTGACTGCTCAAAGCATGCAATGGAGAGCTAAGCTTCCGCATATCAAACAGACCAACAGTAGAATCGGATGATGCTGTTGCCACAACCCACTCATTGAAAGGATTGAAGGACAAATAATTCACCTGAAAATAATAGAAAATATCAGGGCTTTCAGTTGAAAGCCACAAGCTCCTAAAACTGTTGAAAACAAAGAACACGCTATCCATGGCCTCTCTATGCGCTTGGCACTCAAGTTACAACAGCGTTTACAATTTTGATGATTTCCCCCATTTTAGTATATCAAGAAGTTTGAACAACATAAGTGGCTACTGAAATGAAAATGCAGTAAACTATTAAATTTTAATCCACTTCTTACAAATAATAACAGATTGAGATCCACATAAACGACCTAATCAGGAGGTAAAAGTTCAAGAACAGGGTAAAAGAAGTTAAAGATCACTTCTACCCTACGTGAAGAGTAGGCAAATATCAGGAGATGAGAACAAGATTATTAGAGGAAATACCTCTTTGTCATGCACTTTACCAGAGTACTGGGGCTTGTTTGTCCTCAAATCCCAGATTATCAATCGGCAATCATCTCCCACAGAACCAAATAAATTTGCATTCTTCAAGTGCCAAGAAACATCCTCAACCAAACTTTCATGTTCCTAAAACAAGAATTATCCTTGCATGTTCAGTGAATAAGCAAAATGCCACCAAATTTCATTAAGAAAACAACCGAACATGCATTTGCTTCTTCTTCCTTCAATGCATTGATGTCTAGAAAATACCCATAAAATTCACAACAGTACCTGATAAATGTGAGTTGCATCAAGCACCTTGCTGCTGGGCATTGTGGAAATATCCCACAAACAAATTTTACAATCATTTGAGCCACTCAAGAGATACCCCTCTTTGAAAGGACTCCATGACAGCCCATACCCTTCTTTGTCATGTCCTTTGAGCCTCAAGTCAGGATTACAGGACCCCTCCCCTTCATTTCCGAGCTGGTTCGCAAAGTTAAATACATATACTTCGCTGCTGCTAGTCTTGGCAGCAATAATAGAAGGGTTTTGTGGAACACACCTTGCCCTGTTTACCTCCCCATCAACATGCACCTTCTGTACAATCTCCACCTTAACAAAAATAGTAATAGAAGAATCTTTTCAGTATTTTCACTCAGATAAGCAAAAATATATACTGTACAGAAACAAGGCTGAATTATGGATATCGTCTGAAATTTCGAACACATCTAAAAAATAGTCGGGTTATGCCTAGTTCATAACTCTTTTTCACAAAATATTTACTTTATAATTTGGATCAAGTGGGTCCAAGAACTCAATATAGTGTCTCCAAACAAAGCAAGTAAAACAACATTTTACAATAGCTATGCCCCTCGTGAGTTGTTAAACTACATTCAAGACCTACTCCAGAATAAATCCGACAAGGTACTTCTAAAAGCAACATAGATAAGCATCAGTTGGAATTCAGCATAGGATCAAAAAAAAAGGAAAAGATTAATTGGACTATTGTTGTCAATTGAAAGTAGATTTTGAATTATCTAGAATGGAGATTTCTGTTAAAAGACATAGTACCACAGATACAGGAAAAGGAAAGTCAGGATACTGGTGTTTTGTTCACTGGGGCAATTCGTCAAACAGGTGTTGGCGCAAAAAAATAAAAATGAAAATGAAAACAGATAGTACCTTGGGAATCACATCCTCCGAGTTGGGCTCAAGCGCTGACACAGGGTCACTAGGGAGGTGGACATCAGCAAGCATGAGGAAATTAGGGCATTCGTCGGCGGTGTGGGTCCCCAGGACGAGCTTATGGACAGATTCGGCGTCGGCGGCGTTGAGAGACGGCTGAGAGGGAAGCCACTGAACAGTGAGAGATGGCCACTCCAAGGAGTGAGAGATGACCAAATCGTACAAAAAAGGCGTGTTCTTCTTCCAAACCGTGAACTCCTCCTCCAACATCGTCTCGTCCTCCCCCGATCCCACCGCTCTTTCTTCGTCAGACATGGATTTCGACGGCCGGTGGGTTTGTTTGCTGTTGTTTTAACACTTTTGCTCTCTCACTCTAGGAAAAAAGGGCGGGGTTTTGTTGAGTGTAGGTTCCTGCTTCCCGCCAAATGCGAAGATGGGGTGATTTTATGAGAGTCTGGTGTTAGATGGACTTCAATGAAGGCTTGAGGCGGGGCCTAAAAGCTAAAAGAGAATGAAAGCAAACTTATGGCCCAAGATATTTTGAGCAGTCGAAAAATGTGCTTTTAGCGTGGCCCAAAAGTATTTTAAGATACGACGTCAAGTCTTAAAACTAAGCTCTATGTTAAATCCGGGTGACGGATGGATTGGCAAAATTTGGATTATCGCTCTCGTATGGGACGCACATTTTGTCATCCCCTCCGTCCCAATCTATGGGTCTTTTGCAGTTAGAAAGTAGAGGTTCGTCCCCGACTTGAGGGATGCTTTTGTATCTTAGCCTGTTGGCTTCCATCTTATATATATAAAAAATAAATATATCCGAAAGAACCTAGTGACAGATAGTGTCATTTTTTCCCGGAACCATAAGGATATTTTGTAACTCAAGCTTAACACTTCATTCCTATGTAGTGTATATGAAAAAAAATAAAATAACTCATTCCTGTGTGACAAACTGACAATTTTGAAAGATAACGTTAAAACAGACATTCCAAGCTAAATCCTTTTAATTTGGTGGCAACGTTAGGGTGAGTTTAAGAAGAAGAATGTAATTAAAGTGTCTGGGGTATGTTTTGAACCCATAGGGATGGAACATCAATGGTTGCTTGATGAACTAGCTATATCATCAACGTTAAATAAGAAGTTTTAGCCCACGAAACTCGTGGCTGTGTTTTCCAACACCTCAGTATTGTGTTTCTTAAAAAAAAAAAAAAAAAGTAACATCATATACAGAAACAAGGCACGTAGATTTGTTAGTTTCAAATGCGAATAAGAGGAAAATGTAAAAACATAAAGATTTCGTTTTCATGTCACAATTAGCTCGACGTGCATGAATGGTTTGTTAAAAAAAACATAGTGCGCAAGGAAACAAAAGTAAAATGTAAATAAACAGATGTTACTGTCTTTAACGAAGTAGTATCAATATCGACTTAATCTCCTCGTGTTCTGATAATCACGCAAGAGATGATGGTGTCAAATTCAAACCATTGGGACAATCGCATATAAGTCAAAATCGAGACTCTGTTTGTTTCTTTTTTTTTCATGATTTTTTTAAAATAGTATAATAATATCTATTTCATCCCAACATACCTTTTTTACATTCTCAATAAATTTGTTTTATTACTAACGTAAAAAACGTGAAGAGGAAAACGAATTACTACATTCTTCTAGCATGTATAGCATGATATTGACTCATGATCCCTACCAGTGAATCAAAACATTCAAATTCTTTAGTTGACTTTCTTTTATTGTGAAATCCCAATTATACTTCATAATGAAACCACGATAAGACCGTTTTTAACGATTCTATTAAGCTTCTTATTTCCGCACTTCATTTAGTTCTTTTAACCTTGTTCCAAAATTATTTATTCAAAAAAATTATATGTTTCAACTCAACCCACTAAGTTCTCCTCCATTAGGGCATTAACTCCATAATCTCAAATACTCCCTCCATTTCAAAATGTAAGTCTTTTTAGATTTGGCATGTAAACTAAGGAGACAATCATCCAACAATTAATTTATATGCTAAATATCTTTTTTATCCCTCATTAATTACATTGAAACTATAAACAAGATTAAATAAAAATATATTAGCATCATTTATTGAGGGTAAATTTGAAAAAATAGTCATTAATTTGCATAGAATTTGTAAAACGACCTACATTTTGAAAAATCTCTCCAAATCTAAAACGAACTACATTTTGAAATGAAGGGAGTAACAAAGTTAGTATTTGTTCATTATTACACCCCGACCAAAGCAAATGTTCTTGGAAAAGTGGCCACACACAGTTCAACTCGTTATTCATCGTGTAGCCACTGTTAATAATGCGAAATACTTTCTTCCTCCCAAAAATATACTAGTTCACATTGAATTTTTAAATTTACACTAAAATTAGTACGAATTTCAAAATTCAATATGGACTTTTTTTGGGAACAGAGATAGTACTACTATATTATAGATTGAAACATGTAATACCCTAAGTACTTTTAAAAATTGTATAAAATAATAATAATAATAATAAAATTGAAACAGTGGAACATTTCATAATGTGGCCAACCAAGTTAGAACATGAAGGTTGAAGCGCAGTCGGACATCACATATTCCATTAGCAAATGACTTTAATTATCTATAAAGAATGTACAAACTTATTAATGTTTATTTTTTCATCACTCTCTAAGGATCCCAAATTCCCTATTTAGTGGGATAGCACATTTGTAAGTGATATGGTCCATGATTCCAATTTACGATTTTGGTTGCCTTTTTACCAATGTAATACATATATGCCACGTATAAGGCACATCACCATTTATTTATTTACATTTCTTGTTTGTGTAATACAAGTTCTAAGTTGTACAGGACTACATAACATGAGCATAATCCTCCAATTCTCCCGAACCCTAACCGCCTCTCAAAAAAAATATTCTTTCCCCATTTTCTCTCATGGGTCGATGGAGGAATTAATTTGATTTTTCTTAGTTTAAAATTCTTTTTATCGTTTAATAAGTGAAATTTGTCCATAAAATATAGTTTATTCAATAGATTATTTGTAATTTATTGAGAGGTTAGGATTTTTTCTTGCAGTGTTTGTGGTGTCTTTCGTACTGTTACTACGATGTCCGTAGTTTCGTTCATTGTTTCACACGATGCGGTTGAAGAATATTTAGTCATCATAGGCATTACAGTTTCGTTCGTTGCTTCACACTGTGTGGTTGAAGAAGATCCAGTCGTATAGATTTATTTGATAGATCTATGATTTGGGGTTTTCATCGGATGATTAGCGATATGTTCTTGATCAAATTGATTATCTGGCACGTGATATATCCATCGTTGTATTTGGTAGATCTATATAGGTTTACAGGTTTATCCACGAGAAACACAATAATAGTTTTAAGTTTAATCGTAAGTTGTGTTCTTGTTTTGACTGTATCTTTTATTATCAATCGTTGTTGGACGATTTTCAGTAAAATAATATAATATAATTTTTATTTAAAAAAAACTATGAGTATAATCCTCCAAGATAGTATTAATTCTTATTACCTCCGTGTACTTTTATATGCCATTTTAAGTTTTCACAACTATTGGGGGAAACAATGATTGAGACTTTAATTTTTAATATGTTGTCTATCTTGACCTTAATTAAAAGTATTGAAACCCTAAAAGAAAAAATTTAAATTATAGTATAAAAAAAATTATCATTAAACTTTATCTATTTCAAAATTATTTTACACTTTGGATTTTCACTTTTAATACGCAGCTCGCTTACACACCATCTCTAATCTGCGCATCTCTATTCCTAAAGGTGATCAAGCATCATTATTTGTGCCACCTTGATTGCTTATTACTAGTATTTTAATAAACCAATGATTATTTATCTTTGACAATATCGAGATGAAAATTATACATCAATGCAATAATTTATAACTCTAATTTTAAATTTTATTTAATTTCTGAATTTTTATGATCGGACTATCACCCGTCACCGCCAGAGTTTGCTAATAGGACGTGATTCAGTAGCGATAAGTGGTAACAGTTAAAATATAAATCAAATAATATTTGAACTAGCTTTAAAATAAGAATTAAAATATTGTATACAGATGGTGCAATTTTTTCGTTGTATATATATATTAGTGATGTTTGGTCGCGCAATGCGTGACCCTGGCCCAGTATATCTGTAGATCTTAGAAATGTTTGTATTTGAAAAAAAATATTTTGTATTTGGCCCGATATATTTTAGAAATGTTTGAAGAATTTAGAAATGTTTTATAAGTATGATCATAGAAATGTTTTATTTGGCAAAAAAAAAAATTTGTATTTAGCCCGGTACGTTTTAGAAATATTTGAAGATTTTAGAAATGTTTTATAAGTGTTACTTATTAAATATAAATAAACTTGATCAAATATATGTCTTGAAGTAAATGTTAGACAAAATATAAAAGCATTCTAATAAGTTTAAATATTAGTAAGATGATTTATTTATGTTCTCCGTTTGTCGTGCCGAATCAATACTTAATTTTGGAGATTTATAATAGTTTTGTAGTAAGCTTCCTCCGAAGGGTATACGTTTAATTGTTGGAACTGTTTCTTCCAAAAATTTATATGTAGTAAAATATCAAAAATATGATTTTGAAACTGGTTAATTGTTGAAACTAGTTTATCACAAATATGAGAATGAAAATTAATGTAAATTTGCATAGGTTTCAAGTTATAGCAAAAAGAACTCACCTCACCATGGCAAATAAAAAAAAAGTACGTAAAAGAGCCATTAAAAATTGAGAAATTATTTTTTTTTCCTGTAGGTAAAAATGATGTATAAAAACACAAATAAACGTAGAAACATCATTCTTTCCCTCTCCACCTCAAATTCTTCTTCCTCATAAATTAGTTAAAAGAAACGACCTAAACTATTTATATGATGAGGAACTCAAAAAAGTCCAAAAACCAAATCCAAAAAAAGTATATTCTTGAAAGCCTGAACAAAAAAAAAAAAAAAAAAAGCGCTTCATTTGCACAAAAAAAATAAAATAATAATAATACTAATTGGTCAACTGGGAGTATGAAACAAAATAAAAAATAATTAAATAAAGAAAAACCACAATTCATAACAGACCATATACAAAAAAAACTGAGACTCCATAACTAAAAAAAAGAAAACCACTCTAATTGAATGAAACATAAAAAAGAAATTAAAAAAACCACACTTTGTAACAAAAACTCAATTGATCAATTCAATCCAAACAGAACTAAAATCTTACAAAAATTCTAGGATAATTAACCATATAAGAAATCACATCATATTATCTAGCAACAGCTAAGGTAATGTAACGGGTGGACGCATAAAAATAACAGTAATAATACTATTCTTGAACAGTAAAAAAAATAAAATAAAAGCCGTACAAATGATCTGTGGATATGAAATCATTTAAATTTTAATATATGTAATGGCACTACCACAACGACCGAAGCAAGATCAATGAGATTTTTTTTTTTCCTTTATGTTTACATAGAGAGGTAAAGAGAATATTTTTTGAAGTCAAAATTTTATTCGATTAGGATGTAGTTGATCATCACTAATGAAAAGATTGAACATGCTAATAGAAATGAGTATATTTCACCACTTATTCTCTTGATGATTGATGAGAAATTTGTTTTATATATATATTTTTTATTGTGGAGAAGGAATTAATTAGGGAGTCGATTGTCGTAGAGATGTGGATGAGAATTTGGGCTATTTATGAAGCCGTGTTTTTTTTTTTGTTTTGGCAAAAATAGGAGGTGGAGGTAGATTTGGACTGCATTTGCCTTTTAAGTCTAAGAAACTGATGTGTAAATAAAAATTTATTTTAAAAATATGATATGAAAATGCCACATGTCAAATGGTGGTGCTTTTTCTAAAGTGTGATTTTTGTTTCTAATATAGTAAGATATATATATATATATATATATATATTGGGATTTAGATGGCTAAACATACATGCCCAGTCTATTATTTTTTGTACTATTTGTCATAGCCAATTCAATAATTCATCATCTTGAGTCTCGACCAGTATTTTTATTCATAAAAATTTAGGAAAAAGAAAAGAACACAAAAATCCATACATGTATATATTGCAAAATAACGAGACCATCACTTCATCCTCTTTTTTGGCTCCTTTTGTCCCACTCTCATCTTTCCCTCTTAGTCTTAGCCATTCCCATAAAAAGAAGGAAAAAAAAAAAAAAGACATCGGTAAACTGAAACATCCTCCATTGAACCATGTTTTCTCAATCTCCCTCCAATCCTTCCTTATAAAAAAACAGTAAACCCCCCGCCTAAAAATTAAATTAAGTTTTTGTTTTCTTTTTTTTTCTTCCCTTAAACTTAATCAATAAGAATGGCGTCTTTGTCATCACTAGCTTCGTATTCTCCTGCTTGCTCTTTCAACTCCCGGCCCAATATCATCACCATGGGTCGCCGGAGAACCAGCGGATTCCGATGCTCTTTGCCGTCGTCGACGCTACCCATGTCGGCCCAGTTTGATCTGAAGACCTATTGGACGACGCTGATTAAGGAAATCAATCACAAGCTGGACGAAGCCATCCCGGTTCAGTACCCTCACCAGATCTATGAAGCCATGCGTTACTCTGTTCTTGCTGATGGTGCCAAGCGGGCCCCACCTGTCATGTGCGTCGCCGCCTGCGAGCTCTTCGGTGGCAGCCGCCAAGCCGCCTTCCCCACCGCCTGTGCTCTTGAAATGGTTCGTTCCCTTTCTTTTTTTTATTTTTTATTTTTTATTCCTCTTTCGTGTCAATTCCACTGTTTCCTCCCAATATCTGCTGTATTGTTTCATCATTTTGTGCAAAATATTGTGACTGGGATGTTGAAATAATACCTAGCTTTTCGTGGCTCTTTCTGAATTTTAACGGTTTTTAGTTATCATTACTATTATTTAATTTAGGCACAAGGAATGGAGCCCAACAGTGGAAAGATTGAGAATTTGGTTTTTATTATTTTATTTGGATTTTGCCGAATCGAACCAATTGCAGTGTTCCCTCCGATTGAAGCTGTGATCACTTCTATTATATCCACTAGCCAGCTGATTTACCTTGTCTTTCTTGTTTTCGTGATTATTTATGTGGGTAAACTTCGGGTTGTATGCAGAAAAGTTTGCTTTGTTTTATGGATTATCAATGACAGCATACTGTTCTCCGTTAGTGACTCCACATGATGTTATAAGATTTTATGTCTTGGCCAATAAGGTTTATATTGGCTGATCCTGTTTAGTGACACGAATGCTCTAGTCATTGGTTTAAGTTTTAGGCTTTGCAAAGTTTTGGGGACATTGTTTCTTCCTTCAAGGTATCTATGATCGTGACATGAACTAATTGAGTGCATAAACTATCTGTTCTTTATTTTTTTATTTATTATTTTGCCTGGATTTTAGTGCCATTCAACTCCAATTTCCCAGTTTTCTTAATCTAGATTGAAAGTCCAGTTAGGCTAAAGGGCTGCTGATATTAGCTTAAATTAGTTTGTATATGGTGGCAAAATTTAGTGATAATTTGTTACTTATCTTACAATATGATTAATGGAAATAGGTTCATGCTGCTTCCTTGATCCACGATGACTTGCCATGCATGGATGATGACCCATCCCGAAGAGGACTACCCTCTAACCATACAGTATTTGGAGTTGACATGGCGATTTTAGCTGGCGATGCCCTGTTCCCTCTTGGGTTTCGCCACATAGTGTCACATACCCCAACTGACCTTGTCCCCGAGACTCGCCTCCTCAAGGTCATTGCTGAGATTGCACGAGCCGTGGGATCAACTGGGATGGCTGCCGGCCAGTTCATTGACCTGGAAGGAGGGCCGAATGCGGTCGACTTTGTCCAGGAAAAGAAGTTCGGCGAAATGGGTGAATGCTCGGCCGTCTGTGGAGGTCTGTTAGCCGGTGCTACTGATGAAGAAATCCAACGGCTCCGAATGTATGGTCGATCTGTTGGTGTATTGTATCAGGTCATAAGCGATGTTTTAGAAGCAAAATTGGAGAGTTCGGGGAAATCTGACAAGGATGAAGGAAAGAAAAAGAAAGGTAAGAGTTATGTAGGAGTATATGGTGTCGAGAAGGCTATTTCCGTGGCTGAAGATCTGAGAGCCCAAGCCAAGAAAGCATTAGATGGTTTGGAGAAATATGGAGAAAGAGTAGTCCCATTATACAGCTTTGTAGATTATGCAGCAGATAGAGGCTTTAGCATTGATCATTGATTGTCGATTGTCAGGTTCTTTTGATGTATGATTTACTGTATCTGTATGTCCATGTTTAGAGTATAGCAGATCAAAGAGGAATCCCAGATTAGTTGGGCGATTTTCAGTTCAAGAAACATTCTTGTATACTGCTGTAAGTTTTCCTCTGTCAATTGAAAATCTCATACTTTCTGCACTCGCCACCTTTTCCTCTTTTTTTTTTTTTTTTGTTGGGTGTGACTAAAAGTGTTATTGGATTTCATTCTGGGCTTTTTTACCTTGACAAGTTGGACTGTTGGAGTGCGTTTACCTTTTTACCTATGGAATGCGTTGTACTGCGTTCATGCTATGAGGCATGAGGTAATTGGGCTTTACCATAAAATTCATTTGAAAATTGATTGTTTGACTGCAGTCCGACTTCTAAACGCTGAGGATGGTCCTACTGTTCACATTAACATCTATCCTCGCACGAAACTTTTTTGGGCCTTAATTGGGTAGTGGAAATCGGTCATGATCACAGGGGTAAAAAATAAATAAATCAAGAGAGGTTGCATTTTCACTATCTCCGTAGCTTAAGCCGAAGATCCACTATGTCCGTATCTTTAACTCTTAGTTTTAGAGATTTTCTCTAATTTCATTAAGCTGTTAGGCCTTGTTTGATAAACCAATTAACCACTTAAACTTATTAATTAAATACTTAATTGATTAGTACTGTTTGATAATACATTATTATAACAACTTAATTGCTTAAGAACTTAATTTATTAAGGACTTAAATTTTAAGTGTGTTTGATAACTCAAAGTAGGATATCTTAATAAATTAAGTGGGTCTGAAATTCTAGTATAAATGTGAGCCTAAAAATAAGTAATAGGCCTATCACTTATGTCTGAACTGAATTCTTGAGACGATTTTTTTCTATTTATTTATTTTTATATTTATACTTTTGATATTTTATCTTGAAATATTTTTATTAATCATGATGTCTAGTTCTAAATTAAAATTTATGTAAATTATTTTTTATTTAATAAATATTTATTTTTATATAAAAATTAAAATCTATTAAATTCCATGATCAATATATCTTTACCATAAAATATGAATTTTTTTTTCAATGATAAAATATGACATTATTATTAACTGAAAAAATAATAGCATAATAAAATTTAAATATTTGTGTTACATTATTTAATAATAATATTATTATTTTTGTTATCATAGTTTCATATACATCAATTATTTTTTTAGATAAAATTATAAGTCGAGATACTTTAAATTTCAGTGTTCAGACTTCAGATTTCAGACATTTTATTCAGTGTTTAGATTTTGGTTTTATCAAACACGACAAACTTAATCAATTCAGTACTTATGATTCAGTCTTTAGATTTCAGACTTCAGACCCAAATTAAGTTTTATCAAACGGGCCCTTAGTTTATAGAGGAGATTTTGGAGGGATGAAAATCAGTGAACAGGGACCTGAAATTACACATTTATTTTTTGCTGATGATGTCCTACTTTTTTTGTAAAGTAGAGGTTAGCCAAATCAAGTGTTTGAAGCAGATCTTAAATAATTATGGAGCATGTTCGGGACAAAAAATCAACTGGGAGAAGTCTTCTATCTTCTTCAGTAAAAATATTTCAGCTCAACTGAAAGCCCAACTCTGTGGAGAATTAGAGGGGATGAAGGAGCATGTGAAATCCAAATACTTGGGACTTTCTCTTGTAATTGGGAGAACAAATCAGAGGTTTTTAAATATGTTGAAGAAGCTGCTGCTGGAAAGTTTAAAAGCTGGAAAAGTACCTTTCGCTGCGGGTAAGGAGACTTTACTCAAAGCTGTGATTATGGCTCTACCTACGTATAATATGGCGTGTTACAAAGTTCCTGTTGGTACCTGTAAGAACATTGAGCAACAAATGGCTTAGTTTTGGTGGGGAGAGGAGGGGAAAAAAAAGAAAATGCACTGGGGGTCTTGGGATAAGGTGGCTACTAGTAAGAAGAGGGGTGGGTTGGGATTTAGGTCGCTGGCTGTGGCAAATAATGCTTTGCTAGCAAAACAGGTGTGGAGGTTGATAAAAGAACCAGCTGCTTTAGTTTCAAGAGTTCTTAAAGCAAAGTATTTTCCTAGATGTTCTATCTTTAATATAGAGCAAAAGGGTAGTGATTCTTGGTTGTGGAAGAGTTGGTTGGAGGCTAGGAGAATTGTCCATAAGGGGATGAGGTGGGTTGTGGGAAATGGTAGTTCGATAAGAATATGGGAAGACAATTGGACTCAAACCTTTTGGTCAGACTACAGCAAAGTGGTAACATGGTGAGGTGCCCAAGTAGGGTAGCTGAGCTGATCAATTCTAGTACCAAACAATGGATGCATGGCTTGGTGAATCAACTGTTTCACCCTCAAACAGCAGCTGAAATTGTAAGGAATCCATTGAGTCAGTATGGTACAAAGGATAAGGTGGTGTGGGAGAAAAAGAGAAATGGTATGTTTACTGTTAAATCTGCATACTTGATAGCTGAGGAGCTAGAGAAACATGATGGGGGAACAACCTGAAAGTATCATTGCAATGAAGTGATGGGAAAAACCTAGGAAAAAACATGAAAGCTGCCAATTAAAGCTAAGCTAAAGTACTTTATTTGAAAAACATACAAGAATTGGATTCTTATGTCCCAACCAATAGGCAATTTGTCTTATTGACCTGAATAATATTCTACAAAGTCTAGAATTGATTTCTTGGAATAAACAAAAGGGAGATATGAAACGAAGGAATAAGTGAGATGTCGACCCAGAGGGAATTGAATAACAATCTAGTGGTTAAGATGTTGTACTTTCTATTATTAGACCTGAGTTCAATTCACACCAAGAGGTATGTGAGGGATTTTACCCATATTAAAGTGCATTGTGGTGGATTTTTTTGGTTAAAAAAAAAAGAACATGTTGACCCAATAACTCTTTAGAAGTTTAGCCAATGTTTCCTTTCCTTTCGCTTGCCAACCTTCATCATTATCAACGGCGGCATCCCTAATCAATATCCGAATAGGTATGCTATATAGAAAGAGCGTGTCAGAGAATAATATAAATTGTGAATTGGTTAACTTGCTCTTGATTAACCGAATAAAATTAGTTATTTATAGATTTTAAAGATTTATAAATAAAAAATTATTGTTAAATGATAGAGTGATGTGATTGTGACATGTGTACTTGACTATTTTTTTTTTTTTTACCATGTGAATTATCCAATCTCATTTTACACCTAGTGTCCGATTGAAAGCTCTTTTTTAATATATTATATTTTTTTATTTATTAATAATAAAAATAACTGTCTATTCTATTTTGTTCCAAAAATTAGTGATTTGTGTAATTTTCCCGTGTTATGCGAAAATTTTTAATAAAAACAAAAGATGTATCCGGACTCTAGAGTAAACATTCGTTGGAGTGATATTATTTTTCAATTCATTGTAAAAAGATATTTATTTTATATTTATTTTAATTTGTATTTAGGACCATTAATTATAGTGCCATGACAGAGAGTTTACTCCAAACTCAATAAAAGATACCCCTCACATATTTTATGGTAATATAGTAATTTGGGTTTCATGCCAATTTGGAAGAGGAGCTTCGGTTTCGCAAATTTGTAGAACGTTGATCTCTAAACTCTAATCAATGGGATGAAAATTAAAAGGAGATAATAATTAAGAATAATCAATTAATCATAATACTGGAGTCACATAACAAATAGTATTGTTATGAAAGGACTAATAAAGTTAATAAAAATATAAAATTTATCGTTAAAGGGTAATCTCCTAATTAATTTTAGTTATATCTATAAATTTACAATTTTACATTAAAAAATTACCATTAAATGATGGAATAATGTGGTTTTGACATGTAGACTTAGCTCTCTAATCTTATGCCATGTGGATTAACATGTCTAATTTTATGCCATTTGTCAGATTGAAAACTCTCCGTTAATATATATAGAGATATATAAAGATATAGATTATAGGGGAATACAAGTTTTGCTAATTGACTTGATAATTGGAAGATTTTAGAGGGGTAGTCTCTATAAAAATTCGAAGTTTTGAGAATAATTTGAAAATTTGAATATAGTGAGGGGCAGTTTTTGCAATTAGTATCGTACAATATAATCGAAACTCATCCAAAATTCCAAATCCAACAATATGATGATGGTTGACGGTATGTAGTTTCTTTCTACACTCCAAAGGCATCCCAGAAAATGTCGAACCCGTCGGAAGAGCCCGACCCGAGTTCATCGTTGAGCCTTATGATCCTGCCCTCCGCCGTCATCTCCACCATCATGACGAAGCTGGACGTTGCCTCCATACGATCCGCGGCATCTACTTGCCGGGCCCTCAACTCCTGTGCCTTCCACATCCGCACTTTTATGCCCAATTTCCACCTCCTTGTAATCCACCCGGCCCCCTTTTTTTCTCTTATTTTGTTCTTTAGTATCAATTAATGCTTCTTGTTAATGCTAATATCTCTGTGGATTTTCAAATTTTAATGAAGGATATCGGCATTTCCAATGATTTGCTGAGGCCATTGTTGATCCCGGCCAACCCTTATCTAAGGACTTTGCAGCTGGACTGCAGTCGGCTTGATGATGCGTCACTCAATTTGGTTGTTAGGCCATCTTTAACGGAGCTTTCCCTTTATAATTGCGGAGATTTTACAGGAAAAATTCTATCTTTCATCGGCAACACCTGCAAAGACCTCAGGTTGGTAGCTACTTTTTCCTCACTCTTTTTCTTTTTTTTTTTCATCGAACAAATTGTTTGGTCTGTTTGTTGCATTGATGTCAACTTTGTTGTATTTTAAGCAAACCATGTTGTTTTGGGTGTGGCAGCCATTGGCCATTTTGTTGTTTTCTAGAATGTTTAGTAAATGGATTATTATTAGCTTTTCCTTTGTTTCCCGTTTTCTGTTCAGGTGTTTGTACTTGAGTTCACTGGCTGAGAGAAGAGGGAGGTCGATTGATGTGACTGACCTTGAGGAATTACTACTTGGTTGCTCCCAGTTGGAAGTAAGGTTTCATGTGGATAGCTTTTTTGTAAAATATCTAACTGGATATCATAAACAATACTTAATTAGTTTGAAGTTGTAGAGAGAGTCTCATATATTTTTTCATTAAGATCCTGAGAACATGTTATTCAGCTAAATGGAAAGGATGTCTTATGAATGTAATCTCGTAAAGATTGATGTGAGACTGAACTTTACTATGCATAAAACATGGATAACTGACCCATAGTACATATTGCTGGTTTTCACGGGCCCAAGCGACTGACATGCATTTTGGTTCGTACAATGCGCACCATACTTAGGGAAGTTTAGATGGTAGGTTTTCATCCCACTTTTTTTTTATTCGAACATGAAATTCAATGAACGTTAAATTAAAAATGAAAGCTTTATCATTCTTGTGGTGTCTGATGTTGTTTTCTCGGTGGTTGGATGCTAAGGTCTTTTTGTTGCCCTGCGTCTTTCTGGACTTGATGTGTTTTCAGCTTCTGGAATATGTGGACTCTTTATTGATGTGATTTATAAAGATAAAAGTTTGACGGTTTGTAGCATAAATGATTTTTTTCTTGGGTGCGTGAATGATGTTGTTATACCGTTTTTGTAGACACTGGTCCTGATTTTTGATGTCTCGATGTTTGCTCGACACAATTTTGCTCGTGCATGGGCTTTGGCTCCTTCAAAACTCCTCTCTCTTGAATTGGGATTCATTTCTTCAATAATGGTGACTGAACTACTTTGCCCTGCTGTGCCTCCTCATCAATTGTCACATCAGACAAGAGCATCCATTTTTCCAGGCCTGCAGAAGTTGTGCCTTTCAGTAGACTACATTACGGACACCATGGTGTGCACGATATCTGAAACCCTTGCCTCATTAACCCATCTAGATCTTCGGGATTCGCCAATTATGGAGCCTAGAGTATCATTTGATCTCACCAACATTGGTCTTCAACAGATAAACCCACATGGTAAACTGAAGCACCTTTCTTTAGTTAGAAACCAAGAGATTTTCCCAACGTTCTTCAAGCGAGTAAATGATTTGGGAATCCTTCTTATGGCTGACAAATGCTCGAGCATGGAAAGCATTAGCCTTGGTGGCTTTTGTCAAGTGACAGATACAGGCTTTAAGACACTTCTCCATTCATGTGTTAACTTATATAAACTTAGGGTTTCTCGTGGGACCCATCTCACGGATCTGATCTTTCATGACATCACTGCAACTTCTCTCTCTTTGACTCATGTTAGTTTAAGATGGTGTAACCTCTTAACAAACTTTGCTGTTGTTCGATTGGCTGCTAACAGTCGCTTGACTGTTCTTGACCTGAGGGATTGTAGAAATTTAGGCGATGATGCGCTCAGGGCAATCAGTGTCCTTTCTAGGTTGAAGACATTGTTGTTGGATGGTTGTGATATCAGTGACATGGGATTATGCCACTTGAGCAAGGGAAGGTCGGGTTCTCTTGTTTCACTATCAGTACGAGGATGTAAGAGGCTGACGGACAAATGCATATCTGTCTTGTTTGACGATTGTTCGAATCAAGAATTAAGAGAATTAGATCTGTCGAACATTTCAAATCTCTCAGACGCTGGAATATTGTTGCTCGCAAAAAGTCACATCCCGCTTTTTGAGCTTCGGCTTCGTCAATGTCCTCTTATTGGCGATACATCAGTTATGGCATTGGCGTCGATGAAAATCGATGAAAATGGATGGCACAGTAGCAGTTTGCGACTGCTGGATCTGTATAATTGTGGGGGTATAACACAACTTGCATATAGATGGTTGAAGAAGCCGTATTTTCCGAGATTGAGATGGTTGGGGGTCACGGGAACTGTGAACAGGGATCATATGGATGCCTTGACCAGGAATAGGCCGTTCTTGCACGTGAATTACCGGGGCGAGGAGCTAGGGAAAGACCATTGGGGGGATAAAATAAACGACTTCTATGTCCATGAGCACGAGGAAGTGGATGAACTTGAAAGGTGGTTGATTGATGGAGAGAGCGACGAGGACGATGAACTTGAACAGTGGTTGGATGATGGAGAGAGTGATGACGATGAAGAGATGGAAGAAGCTGAAATTGTTGAAGTACTTTGACGGGTAATCGATGCATTTGCTTACTGTTTTGTAATCGTCTACATGTGTATAAACTATTTGAATTTTATGTCGTAGAAATTGTATTAGTGTTATCCCGTATCAGATTTGGACTGTCAGTGATGTCAATGTAAGAGTATGTCAGTAAATTATAATTTGGTTTGGATTTAATATAAGGAACTACCGAGGATGAAGGCTTGACAGTTAGTGGATTGGCTCAGAGAAGTCAAGCCAGTTCCTTGTAAGCTATGTATCTGTGATGTTACTGTTGTTGTTATGTACTGAAATGGTGAAAGCCAACCATTAAGAGAATGGTGCTTCTAGTATTCATTATTCTTCTGTCATAAATTGAGTTGATTACAATAATGTGCCATGTGTTACTCTGAAACTACCATGGTGGGGGTCTTGCTTTGCTCATTTTTCACAGTTGAGAGTTTGAATGTCGGTATCCGTATTTGTATAAATATAGCTCCTCCGGTATATACGTATCCCTCTCCGTTCTCGCCACCAGAACAAATCAATCACATTGTTCAGTGTTGCAACTCCATTTAATTTAATGGGCCTGAAGGCAATCCAGAAGAATCATGGACAACAGATTGGGCTTCTTATCTTAATTGGATTGTATTCAATTATGCCTTTCTCCTAAATTTTGTTCGGCCAGTTTTTGGATATTTGGGCCGACAAGTGATGTGAATATGGTTGAGGTTTTAAAGTTCTAAAATTCCCTAAAATGAGCAAAATACGTTTGGGGTTAATATGAGATGATTGAGTGTAAACAAATTCAGAATTGGAAAGGGAAAGTAAAAGCTAAGTGGGAATAAAATTGCTTCAAATCGACTGCGTGATTAATTGGCAATTAAGGGAGATTCCTCCTTATTTCTTGCTCCTCTTAATAAGGAAAATTACCAGTAATTAATAAGATATATTTGGGAAAGGATTCAATTACCATTTTAGAGCTGATTGTGAGAAGAGCCATCAACCGATTGGGAGACTGCTGTGGGAATAATTGCTTATTTTCAAGGAAATTGACCATATTAAGCTACCTTTTCTCCAAGGAATCATAGGGCAGCAAGGATTTCGTTCAAGCACTATAAATAAAGGCCGCCATGAAGAGAAAATCATCACCGATCAATCATACAACTGGTTTTCCTTATTCTTTATTATTTCTTTTATCGTTTATCATGTTTTTACCTTCCTTATGGTAGTTCATCACGTTCTATCATACTTGCTTAATCCCTAGCTTAGCAATAGAGTTATTTGCCTTTTTTTTTTCTACATAAAATTAGATAGGTGTTCACCGTTTTTTACTCCAACCAGTGCGGTTATGCTGTAATAGGTGTTCTAACACTTATGTATGTCGAATTACCCTCTGCACGTCTGTCCTGTATTTGTCTTCTATATAGCAGCGTGTCGTCGGCACCATCTATAGCTTGTCGGCTAGGATTTTTCACTTTATGAATCAAACGCTGTCTGTTAGGCTTTTCCCCACTTTCTCTAAGTCTCTACCTGTCTTCTCAAACTAAACCCAATAACTCTAAGTTCTCGATCCTGGTCCGAGACCGGTTCGAACTCAACTACAATCGTCTGATTTAATTATGTTTTGGATGATTCTTGTTCCTTTTTTTCTAACGGTTTCGAATGCACAATTTTTTAGCAAACAAATTTATTGAAAAAAAAAAAAAGCCTGGCTGCCCATATATATAAAAACTGGCTGCTTTCTTGAAAACAAAAAAGAAAAAGGCTGCGCTTATTAAAAAAGGAAAAAAGAAAAGAAGCCATAGATAGGGAAATGAATGAGAAGTGTGCGGATCTGGGTGAATTTGCATTCTATTCCTAAAACAGAATGTCCAGTTTGAGTTTTCAGATTTTTATTAGTTTTTGTACGGATTCCAAAATTTGATGTGGATTATTTTTCTGGAATAAAGAGTATAAAATTTATCTATTTTCTGGGGGATGGAACTTGGAAGTAAAAGAATTTTCATACTCGTAAAAAAATCAAATAAAATGGAGAACTTTCGAGCCAAGCAACTCCGTCAATTTTTCTCACCACATGACTCGTGGCATAAAAAAAAAAAAAAACAAAACAAAAAAATCCCCCCACACTGGCGTACATATTGCTTTAATACTCATTATTATTGATGGTAAAACAATACATTTAATTATTAACAGCATTTATTTTTCAATTTATTTAAAGGAAAAGACAATAAGAGAGGGAGAAAAGATTTTTGGAAAAATCAGATTGGTTGCATGGTCACAACTCACAGTGAACTCACAACACAAAGTTGGGACATACGACAAGAAGAGACAGGATGGGATGTTGAGACAATAAGAGAATCATAAACATGGTACGATCATTATTTCTTTATACCATTAATTTAAAAGTTTAGGCCAGTATTTCTCCCGTTACGGAAGAATAACCAATGTTTTTATAATTTTTATTTAATACTCCCTCCGTCCTATAATTATTGTCCAGTTTTATTAAAATGAAAGATTTTGTTTTTAGTCAAACTTAATTATATTTTACCTTAAACAACCGGGTATACCCCTAAATAAGTAATTGTTTAACCACTAAGATTTTATGGATAATGTTTTTTACTCAGGACAAATGTGTAACTTGATCCATAAAAAGTCAAATTGGACAATAATTTTGGAACAAAATTTTTTGGGTAAAGTGGACAATAATTATGGGACGGAAGGAGTACTAAAATGGATCATTTGTTGGGGGAACGAAGGAGTAAAATTTTGCACAATAGTTGAAGAAAGTGTAGCCTCACCAAAAAAAAAAAGAAAAAAAAAAGTAGTTTGACACTGGGAAAAGGGAGGAGTAAACGAGATAAGTTTTGGATGTTGCTTTTCTTTTTTGTGAAATGGTACTCAATTTTGTTTTTTGTTTTTATTTTTCTTCTTTTGTTGTTGGATGTTATTTTGTTCTACAAATATAAAATGAGAAGTAGTATTTTTGATGAATCAATAATGAAGGGTTTTTATTATTTGGTTGCGCCTATTAGTACTTTAGAGATACCTAACTTATTACAGTCGGATAAAACTTATTGGAGAAGTGGGCAGTACTACTAGGAGAGACTCCATTCGCGTGCTCTTCTTATCTGATATGTTCGGTTCTTTAAGAACGATGATGACAAGTCTCCAACCTACTTAAAATTGTTGATGGTTAATTACACACTTTCTTGTTCAGTTGTTTGTTTTGTGTATTCGTGGTAAAAATAGAACCATTAACCTCATAATAATTAAAGTTACAAGTACGATCTAATTAACAGGACACCACGACTCGATTCCTAGCGATGAAGGATTGATCAGTACGTTGGACATTTAGAATATTATGGGTCATATGATCATCACCCGAATACACCGACTATATATAACTGTGTGCATCACAACGTCAAACGTGGCTGCAATTTATACATCATGGAATATAAGAACATTTTCGTCAATCGCATACCTAATCCTGCTACCTGTTTGTTATTGTACTCGCTATACGCTCGCAATATTATACAATCAGGCTAGGTTATATATATTCTTGTTAACCAAATAGTGATATAATAATGTTCATGTGCACCATAAAATATGGTTTCGTGTTTTAGCATTGACATTTTAATTTGATTGAATTAAAAAAAAAAATGTATACGAAGATTAATTGAATACATGACCTTCTTTTTGTAAAATAAACAATGGTGAACAGAATCTATAGCAAGTAAATAAAACAACGAAGTAAGAGGGGTGTTGTATGTGATGAATTTGAGGATCAAATTATTGCGCGAAATCATACGTATGTGCATATAAAAAAGAAAAATTAAGAATGCGAATTAACTTTACTCACGTAGCTTTGTAAAAACTCTTCACCGCACATAAATGATGGCTACTCACTTCCAGAAACTCGCAAATCTTCATTTCGAAATATCCTTCATTAGGTTAAAAAAAGAAAATAGTAAAAACTAAAAAATAAGAGTAGTAGTATTGAGCAAAACCACCGGCTAATTGACCTCGCTGTTTGATCTGTGTGTGTGTGGGCGTGTTTCTGCGAGCAGTACTTTTTATTAATTGTTAAAACAAAAATCCAACGTGGTAAAAGAGGCATTCATGTCGACAAGATTTAGGGGCGCATGTAATCAAATTGTACTAATTTATTAAATATGTTATCTTTCCGGATTATTTTATTCCAGACTTTTCTGAAAATCATAATTCATTAGAAAAATAGAGCTGCCGAAGACTTGGAAGTTGGAGGACCTAGAAATCGCACCAAATCGCCGCTCCCTTGCTCCAACTTTCCCTATTTAATTATTAAATCCTCAACTAAACTACTAATAAACCACAGGATTCAAATTACCAAAGTCCCCCCAACTACAACTAGTAGTGTAGTATTATCGTACTACTCTCTTTCATTTTTTAATTAATTAATTGAAATTTACAAACAAAAACGGCCTTTGGAGAGGTCGAAAGGCCACATACAGGACCTGATCTGACCAACAACGGTTTGAATCTGAGCTGGTATCGTGTTCAGATTCATCTTTCAAATCCCAATATATGTCCACATTAATTTCTCTATCCCCTTTTGCTAATTAATACTACTCCGTACTAAGATTGAATCACTAGCCTGTTTGCTTCTTGATTTGTTCTACGAAATGAAAACCGTAAGGTAGTTATTAGGAAGTTCTCATTTGCAGACTATCTCTCCGCTAGGCCATTACTATATTTTTTTTTCTTTTTCCTTTTTTTTTAAATATTTTTTGATACAATGAATGAGGCCGAAAGGCCTAAGTTACTGAGCAACCACACATGAGTGTGAGCAAAATAATAAAAATAACAATAATAATCTAAACACACAAATTCTTAACAATTTGAGATACTATAACCTGCAACAAAGAGATCTTGTCATATTCTAATCCCGACTTGGTCGAGATGACCCAACATAACTCACATTTAACAGTAAATCCAACTCCAAAACTTATGTTCGAGTTAATAATAAAAATTCCTTTCTTTTTTTTTTTTTTAATCCGGCCCCAAAACTTTCAATTCGACAAGCTATATAGTGTTTATAAAAATTACAAACTATAAGTAAATCTAATCATGTCTAACTACTGTACATACTTCACATTCTTTAGTCTTCTGTCTCGCTTACAAGGAGGATAATCGTTTTATTTAGAGGGGTTCTTTTGTAACCTTAATTAATTAAACTGGGACAGAATGAGTATTATAAATTAATTAACAATCTCTTGCTTCCACTCAATGAACGAGTTTTATAGTTTATAACGATCCATGCATCTCCGAATTCAACATTTTTAACTTCCAAATTTATCATGATT